GTGGCATATTTTCAGCAAAATTAGATACAAGAATCGGCTTCCGACTACCAGATCACTGGAGTATATTCCAAGCGTTCACAGCAAATACATAAAGCCTACTCGTCCTGAGATATCCAAGTGGCTTTGAAATCACTAAAGYYTCTCAGGGYTTAAACAAAGATAGCGAAAGAATGCCTTGATCTCTTAGTGGATGTAACATACTTTTTCGCGATGAAACTGCAATGGGTTGCAGCACATAGTGATATTCCAAGCTCAGTAGATACTACTCCCCTGCGATTCCTAGTAACTGGGCGAACTAGCCAGAGCAGACACCACTCTACCTTTAGACTCCAAAAAAGGAGTAATTTCTATACCACTGGCTTTGGTTAAGATTTAATTGAGAAGCCTATAAGATATATAATTGAGTCTCAGTGGGATCAATTTCTGACTAGTCCAACAAACAGGCAAACGTAGCATGAATGGAATATAGACCATTAAAGTTTAAAAGGAATGACCTAAGGACACTAGTAGGATTGCGACCCAGTCACTGTATAATTAGCGAGCATATCGGCCGCCTGACAACATGTCATGACAATTGTTACAGCTGTCAAGAGGTCGTAGAGACCTCTATAGAACAGCTTTTATGGTATAAATTTTAAGCGAACGCAAGACTTTGTGTAGAAAAATAATGTTTCGAAGGTTTCGCAAATAAAGCTCTTTGTATTGAAGAACTTCAGCAGGAGCTCTCGGTGGTTCAGAGGTCAAAGAGGGAGTGACTATAGAACATTCAGAGAGAGCATAATGTGCTGTGAAGATTTTAGTTGCAGTGGTATCACAGTTGGTCTGCTAAAGGTGTAAGTGGCTTCTTCCTACCTAACTTACCTACTTTTCTCTATCAATATACTACAACCTATACAAATTCGTGCGGCCACGTAATCTCTATAAAATCGTAAAGCGAATAAAATTGTTTCTAAAATTTACATAATGCCTGTGTTTATTGGTGCAACACCCGTCGTGTTTGCTTTGAAGTGCTGATTTATCTGCCTACACAAGTATTGCTCAAGGTCTCAACCAAAATAAACTGATAGCCGCAGTGAGAACTAACCAAATGTTATGCCTTGTTTACTGCCAATAAATTAAGCGGATTTCTGTGAATTTTCTATAGGAAAATTTGCTCYAGATAAGATTTACAGATAACCCATTTTCGCGCCAAAAATAATACACAAGTAAACAACGCGAAATAAATAAAGCAATTTAGGGCAATAAATTATGGAATGTGATACAAAAATAATGGGTGATACAAGTACGGGTACTTTTTTCGAGATTTAAAGTTGAAAGCGTACAA